TTTAATAAATTTATAAGGTTGTGTAACCAGCACTATAGTCCAGTTCCAGAACATTCTTTTTCTTGACAATGTTTTGTAATTCCCAGTGAACAGTTCTACACTTCTTTTGTTAAATTTATTCCTAAATATTTTTTATGCTGTTGTGAATGTAACTATATTTAACTTCACATCTAGTTGGTTGTATATTGATACTATGGTTATATTTTTGTGCCTTATTGCACTGTATAGAAGCTCCAGTTCAATGTTGAATAGAAGTGGTGAGAGAGTGGACATCCTTGTTTTGTACTCAATGTTAGGGGAAAAGCATTGTCTTTGATCTTTAAGTTTGATGACAGTTGTAGGTTTTATGTAGTAGTTTCCTTCTGTTCCTAGTTTGTGTAGAGCTTGGTCATGTATGTTTGTTGGATTTTATCAAATGCTTTTTCTACATCTATTGAGATGATCAAATGGCTTTCTACTTTATTCCAGGGGTCAGCAACATTTTCCGGAAAGGGCCACATAATAAATATTTTCTGGTTTGGTGAGCTATGTGATCTCTGTTGCAACCAGTAAACTCTGTTGTAGAGTGAAAGCAATTATAGACCACATGTCAATGAATGGGCATGATTGTGTTTCAATAAAACGTAATTTACAAACAAAAAAGGCATGCCAGATTTGGCCTGTGGGCCATGGTTTGCTGACACCTGCATTAGTCTATTAATAGGTTTATTACATTATTAGACATTCAGATGTTAAGCTAACGTGCATTCCTGTATAAACTTCACTCGGTCATGACATGTAATACTTTCTATGCATACTGGATCCAATTGCCATTCCTTTAAGAGTTTTAGCTTTTATATATAGGAAAAGGCCAGCAAACAACAAACAAACTCTGAAGGAGATGGGTAGCAAGCTTCCCCAGAATCACAGAAATCCCCTTGAAAACGAGGGAAACATTTCTGCCAGGAACTGAAAACAGATCCTTATCTTTCTGGGAAGCTTGCCCCCAGGAGAGTTATGGCCTTAAGAACAAGTGTGAAGCATTAGCACAAAACAAAGCCATTTGTTCTTGCGCATTTTATGGTTTCTACTGATCACCATCTTTCACACCTGCCTTTCTGTAGCTCACAATAAAACTCCCTGGATGGTGAGGAGGGTTGTTGTAGCTTCTCCAGAGCCTCAACACTCTGCATCTCCACCTAAATTCTACATTCTTTGTGTCTCGAGTTTTCTTCGCGTCCCGCGAGGACAGCATTTATATTCATGAAAGGTATTGGTCTGTAGTTTCTTGTGATGTCTTTGCAGTTTTGGTATCAGGGTAAAATAAGCTTGAAAATATTCCTTTCTCTTCTATTTTTGAAAGGGTTTGCGTTTGTGGGTGTGTGTTTTTTTAAGGGAAACTAACATTTATTTAGTGCCTACTGTACATGACTGGCCTTGTGCAAGGAGTTTTCATCTACAGCGTTCCATTTAATCCTCACACCAACCTTGTGAGGTAGGTATTATCCTCATTTTTGTCAGACAAGAAGTATGAGGCTCAGAAAGGTTAGGTAGTTTGTCCAAGGTCACACTACTAGTTAGAATGTTTCCTCTTTCATTCCTAATCTTGGTAGTTTGTATCTTTTCTCTTTCTTTCTTGATCATTTTAATAAAATTTCATCAACTGCATAGATCTTTTCAAAGAGCCAACTATCAGTTTCCCTGATTTTAATTGTTTTGCTGGTTTTAAAAAAGTTGTTTCTGCTATGGTCTTTGAACTTGAATTAGGAAATAATTCTCCCCAAGCAAATTTTTACTCAAAAATTAATAGGCCCTGACCCTAGTGGCTTAGCTGGTTGAGCATAGTCCCATGCAGCAAGAGGGTCACTGGTTCGACTCCAGATCAAGGCGCATGCCCAGGCTTCAGTCTCAATCCCCAGTAGGGAGCATCCAGGAGGCAGCCCATTGATGGTTCTCTCTCATCAATGTTTCTCCTTTTCCTTTCTTCTCTCTCTAAAATCCATACGAACTTTTTTTTTTAAATCCTCACCTTTGCATAGGCAGGCTCTTCCCTCTTGAAGGCAATGTGTCCACCAGTGTAATGATTGTAAGAGGAAAAAAGACTGTTTTCCCCAGTCGTTTTAGCAGAGTGTCAGACTGTCTCATTGACCTGGTGTGGATCTGGTGCACATCTCTGAACCAGACTGGCCAGGTCTCGGTCATTGGGAGGCCACCAAAAATATTTGTGCACGTGTTCAATGCAAAGAGGACAAGCAGGGGCTGAAATCCAGTGCAGGGCATACTTACCATTCCTTTGACTGGTACATGCTTATGTCTGCAGGAGAGGGGGGCCGTTTTGTAATTCACACTGAGACACTACAGTGGTCTTGATCATGTGCTCGCCTCAGAGCAAAGGTGAGATGGGGTTATCCCCCATGAACCAAATGGTCTGGGGCTGGGGAAAGGACAGTTGGGTACCATTGCCAGAAGACAGAAAAAGGGATGCTGGGCAGGCAAAACTACAACTTCAGAACCATGCCAGAACTAGGCAGTTTATTCCTGGAAACAATACTGAACATTACTTCCAGCCAGAAATTTGATTAGAGTGGTTTAGGGTGGAGAAGGAGACTTTAGAGACAAATTATTCCTTCTTCTTGTCCCTTCCACCGTGAATTTCATTTGCATAATACAGCTCTTAGTGCAAATGAAATGAGTCAGCATCAGGGAAGACAAACTGAAATATGACATCTATAACAAAGGCAATTACTTTTCTTCCTGTCAGCCTCAGTGAGTGATTTCCTAAGTATAAATTAAAAAACAACAGAGGTCAGCCCTGGACGGTTTGGCACAGTGGTTAGAGCACCAGCCTGTGGACTTAAGGGTCTCGGGTTCAGTTTCAGTCAAGGGCAAGTACCTCAGTTGCAGGCTTGATCCTCAGCCCTGTGCCATCAATGTCGCTCTCACATTGATGGTTCTCTCTCTCTTCTCCCCCCTTCCACTCTCTCTGAAAAGCAAATGAAAAAAAATATCCTCAGTGAGGATAAAAAAAAAAAATAGACATTAATGTCCAGTTAGATCATAAATATCTGTTGTATGCAGGTTTGTTTTTTTAAATTATGGTAAAATACATATAACATACAATTTACCATCTTAACCCTTTTAAGTGTACAGTTTAGTAAAGTACATTCATATTGTTGTGCAACCAATCTCTAGAACTTTTTTCATCTTTTACAGAATTGAAATTCTACACCCATTAAACAATTCACCCTTGCCCACTTCCCTTACCCCCTAGCAACCATCATTCTACTTTCTTTCTCTATGAATTTGTTTACTCTAAGCATGTCATTGAGTACCCAGAATCATATGGTATTTGTCTTTTTGTGACAAGCATCCTTACTCCCTTTCCCGTCCCTGGGCCCAGCACAGGCCAGGCTTATTACTAAAGGGACTTGGAGTGGGAGGCCCTGGGTCTGCTCTTTCACTCTGCCCAGACTCCAACAACCTAGGATGGAGGTGGAAGGCATGATCTGATTCTGAAACCCTCCGGATCATCTCCTTTTCAAGGTTTATTACCATCCCATTGAGGGGTGTACTGGGGTGTAGGTGAGGCAGAGGCCTCCTTATGTAATTGGCCTTCAACGTGGTGGTGGGAAATCTTCTCTCTTCCTGCTTTGGCATGGTACATGGTTGAGGCCATTCTTAGCATCAGCTGGATCCTTCTAGGATCTGTTGAAGAGGAGTAGCCATAGCTCCTTTTGGCTCTTCCAGCTCTGTCTCCAAACTCTTCAGGAGGGGTGACTACATAGGCAGTTCCCAGCTTCTGCCTTCCCCTGTAACCTCTGAGCTCCTTCTGATGGGGCTAATGGTGATGATCTTTTCCAGGCCTCAGTGGCTGGGGAAAACTGCAATGAGGTATCCCTGTCCTTTCCTTAGCACATCACATTGCTGCTCCTTCTCATCTGTTGGCCTAGACTGCTCCAAAACCTCTGAGTGTGATGTAATCAGTGGTCTCTACATTCACACACCCTCCCCAAACTTAAAGGGGACAGGAGAGATGACACCTATCAGGATCTTCCAGTGATTCTTTTGGTGCCCTCCTGCAGTGGCAGCACTTGGCAAGCTCTGCAGCTTTCCACCTGGCAAGTGAGGAAGCAGTCCTCTCTTCTTGCCTGCCCTTGAAGGCTCCCCATACCTGCCACTACTTGTCCCGGGGGCAGGGTAGGTGCTCCCAGCACCTCATGGAAGAGGGATGTATGGGCAGGGAAGGAAGTAACATCCTGTTGCTTTGATATATATGTATCAAAAGTGTGTATGTATATATATACACACAGATATATATATTTACACATATATAATATGTACTTATTTATGTATCTGTATCTTTTCCTGGATGGATATACAAGAAACTGGTGATAGTAACTGCCTAAAGTATGGAGTTAGGAGTTAGCAAGAGACTTACTTTTCACCATATATCCTTTTATATTGTTTGAATAATTTTCTTGAGGATAAAAACAATAATGTAAGTAATGAATTCAAAAGGGCTTTATAAATCATCAAACGTAATACAAATAATAGGGTTTGTTACTATTATAGATTACACATTTTGTGTGTTCCCTGTGTAAACACACAAAGAGAAAAGACACTGGAAGGAAACTCCAACGCTTTGACATGGAGAGGGGAGATATGAAGTATTAATTTTCTTAATTATATTTTTCTGTATATATACAGAAAATGGTATTTTACATTTTCTACAACAAATCAATAATTGCTATTTAGAAAGAGAAAAATCACAAAACTTTAAACTTAGAAGAAAATTTTTTTAAACTTCATTAGAGTGATTTGCTGTAGGACGGGAGACAAGCCAGCAACTGTGGGTCGTGCATAGGGAAGACTGAAACTCTCCTTCCAGGCCGGGAAGTGGGTTGAGGACTACAAGGAGAGGCGAGAAAGATGCGGACCTCCAGTGAGGCTAGAGCGGCTACGAAAAGACAAGGGCACTTCCGGGGCGGGGCTCTCTGGGCCTTCGCCCTCTGCGCGGCGGGGTAGGGGCGGGAATGTGGGCCGCTTGCTACAGGAAGATTCGCGATTGCTTGGCTTCCACTTCCGTCACTCTGAAACGGTGCCTGAAGTTGCGGGCGACCATGGCAAAGAGCAAGTTCGAGTACGTGCGGGAATTCGAGACTGAGGACACCTGCCTGCCCCACTGCTGGGTGGTGGTGCGGCTAGATGGCAGGAATTTCCACCGGTGAGTGCGCTCGGCTTCGGGCCACGCGGCCCGGCGGCGCTTCCGGGGATATCCTGGACCTCGGATCGCAGGCCCGGGCTCTTTGTCACCGGAGTAACGCGGCAGCCAATGAGCGCACGGCATTGAGCATCATTCTACGTGCTGGCTGCTATGTGGTTGGACGTCCGGGTAGTTAAATGGGACATGGTGCTCCCCTCGTGAGAAGCCGGGCCGGGTTGTCTGCGAGCGGAGACCTGTTAGCAAAAACCTTGTGGGAAAAGTCCCTCTCGGACACAGTACTTCAGGTCTTCAGCCAGTTGCCCCGCTATTTTGTTTGAGTCCTTGCTGTCGGCAACTCTTTACAGTATATTCTTTCATTGTCAATAACAGGCCACGTGGCCTGGGCTCAGAAGGAAAAAAAGGTCAGAAAAAAGGCAGAAGTGTAACAGAAAGATGGGAATTTAATTTTTTAAAGTGCCATTTTAGTAATCGTTATTATAATTAACATTGAACACTTCTAGGGAGCCAGGCATAATTACATTTCTTATTTTCCCCTAATCTCCAGGACAATTGTATAAACATTTGCTATCCCCATTTGGTAGAAAAGGGAATTGAGGCTTAGCAATTATGTCCCCTTTTTTCAGTGGGTCAGGACAGAAAAACCTAAATTCTTAATGGAATGGATTAGGTTGTGGCTAGTGGAATGTTTGGACTCACAGCACTAGTACAGTACCTTCCTCTTTAAACAGCCTCTTTGACCCCTAGTGTTAAAGCAAGCTCTCTGCATTTATGCTCTTTCCCCCCCTCTCTTTCTCTCATGAAGGTTTTCTGAGAAGCACAACTTTGCAAAACCTAATGACAGCCGTGCTCTCCACCTAATGACGAAATGTGCCCAGACAGTAATGGAAGAACTAGAGGATATTGTGATTGCATATGGACAGAGTGATGAGTACAGCTTTGTGTTCAAGCGGAAAAGCAATTGGTTTAAAAGAAGAGCCAGGTAATTCCATAGCCCTGCTCCATCAGAATATTTCCTGTCAGCATCTGATTTCTGCTTTTCTTAAACACAGACTCGTAGTCCACAATATGTCTGTAGTATTTGCAACTGCGGAATGTATGTATATTCCTGTTTGGACTGTTGTACTTCCATCTGATATCTGAGCATTTCATATCTGATTCTTTCCATTCCATTCCCCATCACCTTCTAGACTGATTTGGCATTGAACATTAAGACTAGAAAAATAGACCATGGAATATAATATTAATGATTCATAGGTTGGCTTTAGCCAGTGACAGGCATTTATATGGGCATTGCAGTATTGCTTAAACCTTTAATGTAGGAGAATTTCAGTATTTTAGTACAAAGTAGACAAATCTCATATCTGAGCATTTTGAAACTCTTGCAGGAAACAAATTGTATAATCAATTGGTATGTTTTTAAAACAATAGTTCCTCTTCTTTTAAGACTTAAAAAAAAACCCTCTCTAACCGTAAATTCACATTACATACTACAGAAAAAAAAGTTGGTATTAGTAAATTACTTAGAGTACTAAAAAGAGAGGCAGGCTACATTTTAAGTATGTAACTGAAATATTAAAATAGTTTTTCTTGGCCTAGCATATTTTATCTCTAGGTTTGCTGGCCAGTTTGTGTAATCTCTCTGTTTTACCCACAGGGCCCATCTCACTGTTGAATTCATGTCATGTATTTTCTCTTTTCTTGCTCCACCCAATGTGCCTTACACTTGCAAGTAAGTTCATGACTCATGTGGCCTCCCAGTTCGCCTCCAGCTTCGTGTTTTATTGGCGGGATTACTTTGAGGATCAGCCCCTTTGGTATCCCCCAGGCTTTGATGGAAGAGTTGTGGTGTATCCTAACAACCAGACCTTAAAGGACTACCTCAGCTGGCGGCAAGCAGATTGTAAGTGAAAGGAATTAAGCAGATGTGATTTAAATCACCAACTCCATACTTTAGAGGTGGTGGTCTGGTACAAGTTTTGCTCACATGTATTTTGTTTGGAATGAAATACTCCCCCCAAAATTTTTTTTTTAAAGTCAGAAGATCTAGCAGTACTAGGTCTGTATTCCCACTTGTAGTGGACAGAACCTGTGCAGTGACTGCTGCCTTTACACACACACACACCAGTATGCCACAGTCTCTACTATTACCTGTTCCCCGGGGAAGGGGATGTGGTAGGGAAGGTCACCTCTCAGTGGGTTTGAGTTCTGACTCCTGCCTTATATGACTGTGATGAAATGTTTGTGAAACTTCTCATTTGGTGTATCTTGATTTTGTCAGAACTGGAAAAGGGGTAGGAGTAATCTGAATCACATAACATGGAAAGTATTTCTAATTTCGGTGCACAAGTTAACAGATATGTGTAAAATATAACTAAAATGGCAGAATAAAAAACTGTTAGGAAATACCTTTGTTTCTGGCTGCCCACTTCCCCCCATATCTCCTGTGTATGGTTTTGGGTGGGTCACTAAATAGCTCTTGAGATCTTTTTACTTTAAAGAGGAGAGAGGTGGGGCTCTAGTACTCATTGAAACATGGATACTGAATAAAGATTATGTATGTTTAAACAGTACTACTTTGTTCTCCTCACAGGTCATATCAATAATCTTTATAACACAGTTTTCTGGGCACTCATACAGCACTCTGGACTAACACCAGTACAAGCCCAAGAGAGATTACAGGTATAAAGATCTTAGTGCATTAATGCTTAATTGGGAACAGTTTTCTGTAGGCTCTCCCATAATATTTTGCATTCTTTCCAATTTCTCTTTACAGCTTTGATTTGAAAGCGTATAAAAAATCACTAGTAGCAGCTCTGCTGTTTGCTTGCTCTGTGACGCTATATGAGTTACTACTTCTCCCTGAGCCTCAGTGTCCTCAGATGGAAAATGGGATCAGTGACCTTGGCTCTGCATTCCCACGTAGTAATGCTTGGCCAGAACTGAGTATTGGCTGCCCTCTTTAGACAGGGCATGTGCTGCTCTTTTTCTGTCAGTCCCACCTGGCCTATTTTCTCATTGCCATTCCCTGCTGGGCACCTTTAGATTTTTGGGGTCTATGACCCTTATGAATTATAAAGAGTCTAGACTCTGGGAGTCAATCATACTCAGATCATGCTTCTTAATTTTATCTTCTCTGCCTAGTTTTTTATAGGTAAAATGAGGAAAATAATAGTTCCTACTTCATAGGTTTACTTTGAGAATTAAATGGCATGACACATGTAAAACATAGGATGGGACAAAGCACATTGTAAGTACTTAATAAACACTGGCTTTTATTATTAGATGACAGTGCTACTTATAGGATGATTAACTCTGAAATGAGATGATGTGTTATAGCAACTAATACAATGCCTGGTACTTTATAATTATTCAGTAAATGACTGTCATTATTAACAGCGATGATGAGGATTTATATATAGCAGTGATAGGAATAAGAATAGGTCTATCCCGTTTGGAAGAGCCAAGTTAAGATTTTGGTTCTAGACAAATAAGAGCAACCTATAGTCTTGGGCAATTTATATAAACTTTCTAAGCTTCAGAGTTCTCATCTGTAAAATGGAGATGGTTATCAGAGTCAAATAAGAATCTATACATAAAGAATCTAGTACAGAATAGGTAATCTCACTATTAATTCCTGTCACCCCATCACATTCATGACTTGTGAAGCCATTGTTTGCTACAGAAGAGAACTTGTTTTTACATTCAATATTATTTTGTATTAGTTTCAGGTATATAGAATAGTGGTTAGCAGAAGAGAATTTTATGAATTTACACATGTAAAGATTTGAACTGCTCTTAAAATTATGCAAATTCTTTAGTATCAAAAGATACTTGATAAAACACTTCCACTTGATTTGTTTGTGGAAGTTTAGGTAGAGGGTGGACTGGTCAGGTTAGGGGAGAGATAAGGCATAACTAAGGTTTGTATGTCTCTTTTTATTTTCTCAGGGAACTCTTGCAGCAGACAAGAACGAGATTTTGTTTTCTGAATTCAACGTCAACTACAATAATGAGCCATTGATGTATAGGAAAGGGACTGTGTTGATATGGCAAAAGGTAATGCTGTTGTATCCCAAGAAAAATGGAGGTCAAAAAAGAAGAGAGTCTGTACCCATCCCAAGTTTGTCTTGCCTGCTAGCTTTATGCTGATATGACTGCAGGTGCTAATACGAATTAGCTCCTTTCCAAAACGAGATGCTATAGGTTACTATCTCAATGTTTTTTTTTTTTTTTTTTTTTTGGTCAGACCATGTTCATTGTATCAGTTTGTCAGTGAACTTTGTTATCTTGAATCTCCCCTATAAGTAGAAACACAGATCTTTAGAACTATTACACTTATTTTTCTGTGTCATAAGTTCTCTTCAAATCAAATGAAACCCTGTTATAGGGTTACAGCGCAGGTATGAGGATTGCGTTCGTAGAACATTTGTAGAAATACTTTCTCCCACACTGGATAATACCATTAAATGGTCTATCCATCCTGTGACAACTGTAATATGAGTCCCTAAGAGATGTTGATATGAGGGTTCTGACATTTGCAGAATATTCGTGAGATTCCCCAGACACTCATACTTAATGTTCTGTAATGAGTCTACATTTACCTAAATCCTTAATTCTACCAAAATTTTCTCTCTTGTTTCAGCTCCTGGGGCATAATGATTTCTCTAAACCTCTTTCCTTCCATCCAAAGTAGTTTTTCTGAAATGAGTGTTTTTAAGTATTACGGGGGAATCTTGAGAGCTAGCCATTTCACTAGCAACTTCAGCTCTTTTATTAGTGTTTTTAAAGCACATTTGTTCTTTGGCACAGGCTTGGATACTTCTTGGGAGAGCAGAAATGCCATTAATTCTATAGTTATTGCTAACAAGGAACAAGAAATCTCTTCTTTATTCCTAAGATGTTCTTTCAGAATATAGCAACATAACTTTTTTTAAGTGTTTTTAAAATTTTTTTTATTTTTATTCATTTCAGAGGGAGGAAGGGAGAGACAGAAAAACATCAATGATGAGAGTCATTGATCAGCTGCCTCCTGCACATCCCCTGCTGGTGATCAAGCCCACAACCCAGGCATGTGCCCTGACCAGGAATCGAACCATGATTTCCTGGATCATAGGTTGATGCTCAACCTCTGAACCATGCTGGCTGGGCAACATAACTCTTTTTTAAAAGCATTGTTAATTGTAAAGAAATTCATGTATGGTGAGAGAGGTGTGTGTGTATCTGTGTATCTTCTAAAAAATATATATGTCTCAGAAGTATATAAAGTAAAAAAATGAACCTCCCTCACATCTCCCCCTCCTCTCTCAAATCCACTCTCAAGTTAACCATGTCAATATTTTAACTTACCTGTAGGTGGATGAAGTCACAACCAAAGAAGTTAAGCTGCCAGCAGAAATGGAAGGGAAAAAGATGTCAGTGACCCGATCCAGGACTAAGCCAGTGCCCTTGCACTGTGATATCATCGGGGATGCTTTCTGGAAGGAACACCCAGAGATCCTAGATGAAGACAGCTGACCCTTTACTTTTCTGTCCTGCTGTGCTTAACCACAGAAGGCCCCCCCCCCCCAAGTATTCTGGTCTTAGGTGGCCCAAGCATCCCTACTACCCAGAACAGTGTCCCGGGAGTGACATGACTGGCTGGGAGGGGAACAGGGAAGGAAGGCATGGATGAGGTGATGTATCGTGTTCTGCTTTAAGTGGCTATGTATCGTGTTCTGCTTTAAGTGGCTCACCCTTTTTGCAGTGTTGGAACATGCTTCCTTTGGTAGAAGTGCATTTTTTTAAAAATTGTGGTACTATTTTTATAAAGTGAGAATTATTTTATGCCTTGCAGAATGAATCATTTTTAGATTGTGGTATAAGTCTTACAAAAACCTGCCAAACTCTTTTCACCTATGATGGAAGATGAGCCCAGGGTTTATTCTTGTGCACCTGTTCCTAACTAGAGAATCCAGTGACCTTAAATCTCACCTTCCCACCCCCCACCTGCTTGCATTCATCTTTGGCAGACCTGGAGATAAATATAGCTTGATGCCTGCAGGATGTCTCTGAATTCAAGAATTCCAGGAAAAACTCAGGGCTTTGTGTTAATCTCCAATTTGGCAACGTTGGCTGAACAAATGAGTAGTTTGGATGTTCTTCTTAAACATTCCATAGATTGATTTTGTAGAGTTAATTAGCGTGATCATCATGGTCTTGCCAGGGGCATTGCTTGCAAGGCCAATGATCTTTTTCTAAGAAGAATTATGTGTATGAGAGAAAGAAAATGTGTGACAATGAGTGAACGAGGAGGGAGAAACATTCACTCTGTGTCCTTTAGATACTTAAAAGTCACCTTGTCACCTCTTGGACTTCCTGAAAAAGATTCTCAGGTAGCCTCTGTATAATCAGAACAATGACATTTGAATTGGAGAGCAGAGGGGTCAACACTCCCCTTGGGGTTACAGGTGGCAGGTGTCAAAGGAGTCCTAATAGCTCCACCTGCTGATGACCAGTAGAGATGGGTTGGTTGAAGTGCCCAGAGAGCCGCAGCAGTAATTTCATGTTGCCAAGCTCTTGGCCTCTGAAAAGGGGGAGGTAGTGGAGACAGGTGGTGAGAGAACTCACATTGCCTCTTGTCCTCATTTCATGTTTTAGAAGAAAGAAGTTATTTGGCTCTATTAAGAATTAAGAGACAGCCCATGTCCCAGTGCCTGGTCTTGCATTGCAGAACTTACAGCCAAGAAGATGTATTTTTGAAAGAGTGACGGCTGGTCGCATCCCTTACCAATTGATACCCCATCTGTCGATGCCATATTTTCCCTTCCTGTCTTCCACAGGAATAGGAGATGTTTTGTAATTGATAAAATCTCTTTGAGAGGAAAAATAAAGGTTTCAACTCCCTTGGGCTAAATTTTCATTTATTTTTCTTATACAAATGCAGTATGTGGATCCAATTTTTGTATGTGTTTGTATGTCTACATAAGCCAGAATACATGTGCCTTTCATTACAGCAGTGGTTTACAGACTTCTGGATGCAAAAATTTACTTGAAATGCTTGTTTAAAAGGCCAGTTCCATATTCCCCCATAAAACTCAGAGTTCAGTAATACGGTTTATAACCCCAAAGGCTTCTGATGTCTGTGGTCATTGATATACTGCATTTTGGGCCACAAGGTATACTGTGATAGGCCAAATGAGGCAATAAGATAATGTAGCTGTTGGCTGGGAAATGTAAGTAATTTAGAGCATTTCATGTAAAAATAAATATATAGGCATTAAAATACAAGTTTTCAAGACAAAACCATCTGAAGAAATGTGCTATGTAATACTACAAAGGCTATTACTTGATTTTGTCATAAGATAACGGAGACAGGCACTTGTTCCTTTGAATTTCCAGCAGTTTGCAGCTTTGAGTTTTGTCACAAAGTATTGAGCAAATGAATATCCTAGGCTTAATACTCAAACACTATAACTAAATCTGTAGTGCTGTTACTTAGAAGCCGCATGCTTGATGGGTTTTGTTGTATGTATTCATTCCAATGTATATTGCAGTTTTATATTCATTTTCATTTTGCTCTCTAAAAGAATAGTATTAGGGGCTTTCCTTTCTGAATCTAAAGAAACTAAGATATGCACAAAAGCAGCTGGTATAGTTAATACTAGTTGACAGTTTCGGGGAGTGGTGGCAGTTAGATTTTTGTGGCCTGTAGGTGACTGGAATATCTTACCTCTGCTGGATGAGGGAATGATACCTGGGCCTTTGGTACAGACTATCATTTTAATATCAAAAAACAAAAAATGTTTTGCAGAGCAGAGGCTATTCTAATCCTGTTTTACAAGAGCTGAATCTTTTCCTCCAGTTGCTTAGCAGTGCTTAGAAAATCAGTGATATAATGAATTTTCTTTAATACTAAGGTTTCTTGTGTTAGTGCAAATTACTTTTTTTATAGGATGTAGGAAATGGGAGAACTGGGATCTACCCACTGTAAATTATTTCACCAATATTAGCTAACATTCATAGAGCACTTATTATGCACTCTGCATGCACTATATCTTCATTCTTATATAAAGACCAGGAAAAGCTCAAGTAATTGGAGCCCAGGTAGGGTAACTCCCAGTGGTAACTCGGCGGGAAAGCCGACTGGGACGTTCCTTGGCCCCTTTCCCAGGGAGCAGACCGCAGCCCCAGAGAGCAGGGAAACGCCGGGTTGCCATGCTGGTTCCGGCCTCGACCCCGGGGAATCTGGAGTATTAACAGACACCCTAAGTGATAATGACATAGATGAGGAAACCCTGCATTAAAGCAGGTTAA